TGGACAGACAAGGAGGTCCCGGCTTCCCGCTTCTCTCCGCTCAGGCTTTGCCAACTCCTTGCCAGAGCCAGTGCTGCTGTCAAGCAAGCAAACAGCAAGAAGTAAAGGAGGGAAGGGAAGAAGACATGCACCACGTGTGGTTTCCTGACCAGAGCTCAGTGGATGTGAGCGGTAGGGTGGGAGCCGCAGGAACATGCAGCCAGGCAGGGGAGAGAGCGGCAATGACTGGCCTGAACTCTGAAAACCACAAAAAACCCTGGAAGGCTTTTGGGATAAAGGCCAGCTTCATTCCCAGGCACAAACAAGTGGCTGTTATGGAGTCGCCTTTTGTTACCGAGGGCCAGAGCACTACAGCCTCCTGGGAGGCAATGGAGTGGGACTCTGCTCCGGAGTTTATTTAAAAACAAGCACAAAATATTTAATGCAACAATAGTGTCTTGTACGATGAATGCTAGCGGTGTTTCTCCACGGAAATGCCATGCTGAAGGCTGCAAAAGCAAACGAAGGCAACCAAAACGCCCAACCACACGCTTTGGATGGTGTTTGTTTTCCCACACCCATCCTTCCCCTCAAGGGATAGGGCCGGTGGGGGGTCTCTGCCTCCAGACTGGGTGCCAGGCAGCTGGGGGGCTATTTCACAGCAATCACAGCCCAGACGGGAATGACCAAGCCCTTTTCCCAGAAAGCAGCCTGACACATCTTAGCTTTCATTCCTGGCAGACAGCGAGGATGACAGCCAGCATGGTTTTGGACTCCCGTGTCTGTGAGCAAGGCACCTGTCATCCCCATCCTGAATGGCACATTATCCACCTTAAAGCCAGAGGAGACTTCCCCCCAGCCCAAGCCTCCTCACTATTTAAGCATCAGAGGTGGGATTAACTCCCGCTAGCCTGTCCTGGGTATGAAACTCTTCACAAAAGCAGCATCCGCTCCTTCAGGGCTCCACCCAAACTGGCACAATTCTGCATGAGCAAGGCTCCATCTGCCTTTCGCATGCCACTTCCCAGCTCATTTGTATTGCAGCTTTCTCAGCGGTTTTAAAACAAGAAATGCTGTTTGCCATAAACAAAAAATAAAATCAGAGAGGTATAAAATGCAAACCACAGTGCCTACAGTCATGCTGCTCCATCCAACGGCAGCAGGAGATAACCCTGGAAACAGCCAGAGCTGCAGCAACAGGTACAGCAAGCAAATAATATCTAGGTGTTCATGGTACCAACATGCCTCCACATCCTTGAGCAACATTACAGTGTGATTTCTAACCCTACGTCACAGTTCTCAGATAAGGCAGCAGTAAGCACGATTGCTAAAGCTGCCACATGTAACCGCCTGCCTGCAAAAGCAAGCCGTGAGCTGCGGGACCTGTATCTTGGAGTTGGGGAAGTCACAGGAGGACTCGCAGGGACAGGTGCTGTCAATATTGCCTGGAGTCCTCTATCTTCCTTTTGAGATGGAGCCTTAACACAGAAAGCTTTAGGGAAGAGGGCCAACCAGTCTTAGTTTCACCTCCTCATTACAGAGAGATTCCGGGTCCTGTCTGAATTCAAAGAGGGAGCACAGCAGCCATGATAGGACCTCTTCACTCAAGAGCATCAGGATGTAATGCATCAGAAAAAGCAGCAGCAATGGACCAAACATCATTCCCCCTTCCTTGATACAACCAGGGCGCACGCTGCTTTGGGCTGCGGGGACCTCCTAAAGCTTTAGCCACACGGAAATCCCCCGAACATCAAACCCAGGGGACCAGACAGTCATTGAGCACTTCTCTCTGGATGGTGCTAGG